GCAGCCTGGAGAAGAGAAGGCTCAGGGGGATATTAACAATGTGCATAAATACATGATGGCAGGAATGAAGAAGACAGAGCCAGACTTCTCAGTGGTGCCCAACGACAGGACAAGAGACAATGAGCACAAATTGAAAAACAGGAAATTCCATTTAAACATGAGAAAATACTTTTTTACTGTGAGGGTGATCCAAACACTGGCACAGGCTGCCCAAAGAGGTTGTGGAGTCTCCATCCCTGGCAATATTCAAAACCTGATGGAACATGGTCCTGAGCGGCCTGCTTTAGCTGGCCCTGGTTTGAGTAGGTGGGATGGACTGGATGATCTCCAGAAGTTCCTTCTAACTGCATTGATTTCGTGATTCTGTGCTTAGGATCACTGGGAGTCCACTGGGACTGAGCTCAGTCCTAGGGCTTGAGGATGCTGGATGGTCCTTCTGCAGGGAAGCATGGCAGCTCCTCTCTGCTCTTCTGGGTGGACTCCTGGGAAGACTCACTGAGCATCTTGGGATTTGCCCAAGTTTTGTGCAGAGCTCATGTGGTGTTTCCTTCCAGCTGGGCCTGTATATTGTTCTGGGCTGACGTTCGTGCAAAGCGTCACTCCTTCTCCAAGGTCTGATGCATCTCCAGGCACCAGGCATGCAAGATCCTGGGTCAAAGGAGAAGCTGTCACCCCTTGTCGCAGCAGAGGATTGTGGCAGTTGGCAGCCTTTGTGCTTCTAGGAAACTTCCAGTTCAGCTGCAAACTGCCATGGGGTTTTGCACATTATGAGGGAAGAAGGTTAAAAAGTCCATGGGCTGCTAAGTTGTAGAGCAAGTGTGTGCTTTCAGCCCAACCACGCTGGACCAAAAGCACCTGAATGGGAAACACCTACTGCAGCATCTGAGGAGCTGCCTGAGTGAATCCTTCAGGAGCAATATTCCCTTAGGGACACATCTGCATTAGTGAGTAGAGAAGCTGAGTCAAACGAGAATTGTGTTTTGCAGGGGGAGCCTGCCCTGGCATGAGTGTTTCCAGTTGTGGCACCTTCATTACTGCCACGGGTCCAAGAGAGAAGGGTCTGATGAGCTGCACCTCTCATCTGTGCCGGGGCAGGCTGCTCTTTTGATAAATATGTGGGGCTTTCCTCTACTAAAATGAGCAACCACAGGGTTTTAATTTGCAAACTCTTTCCTGGTGACGGGGAAATCACAGCTAACTGGCAGTTCTGCTCTTAGGAAAGGTCCCTGATCATTCTAATACCCTCTACCCTATGCTGATTTCTGCCAAGCAGGATATGTTTTTCATGCTTTCATGTTCTCTCATCTATGTAATACCAAATGGCTCCTTTTTTGTACGCTGCAGATTCACCCAAGGGTAGAAAGGGCAGCTGTGGTCCTCAAATGGGGAAAACACGGTGCCTCTGCCCCCCCGAACGGGATCACCGAGAGCTGATGTTGCAGACATCCCCATCACCGACAGACAGGACAGACGCATCCCCTGCTGCTGGGTGCTTCCTCGGTGGTGTGGAACAGGAGTTAAGCCCCACTGCTCCTCTCCCATCCCTGTCTGCACTCAGCGATGCTGAGAGAAGCGCAGGTGGCTCTTGCCTTTGGTGGCTGTCAGCTTGCCTCCCTCTAGCGCTTATCCCAGCCTCCTGCAACGCCAGCAGCTGGGTTTGATCCCTGCCCAGTTTGTGTCTGGGTGGAGCACAGGTTATTTTTTAGGTGTATGGTGCTGGCTGGGTTAGGTGGGAATAGCGGAAGGCGCTTACGAAGCAGCGATTCCTTTTCCTCCTCGTGATGGGCAGAGGCAATGCAAGTCCTCACGTGCAAAGTTTGGGGGGAACATGTTATTCAGGGTGCAGCCAGCCTGAAAAACTGGGAGGTGTGGGAGAAGAAGGAAAATCTGCTTTTCCTCTCCCCTCTTCAAATTAAATGTAATAACAAAGTGGAAAATTTGCTTTCAGCCCTTTGTCTGTGCTATCCTCTCCCAGCCTCCAGCTGGACATGGCCTTCCAAATTGGATTGATCAGGAGAAAAGGGGGAAAAAAAAGCAGTGTTTCACATGAAGCTTGCTCAACATCCTTTATTATTTAAGTGCTGTCTTGGCCAGGCTCTAAGTGGGAGCAGGAAGAAAGGAGGGCAGCCTGGCAGGAGCCAGGCAGAGGAAAGGCTATGTTTTTGGTATCTGAGTGGTTGGAGGGATGAGCTCACCTCTTAGCTGCCTCCTACCCAAGTTTCTCCATTCATGGTGCCTGTGCACAATCCACCATGCTGGTTTTGGTGTCAGAATGAGCGTTTAATCCTCCTGGCCCAGCTGCAGAGCTTTTGGCTCACCAGATTTTCTCCATCTGCTGTGCTAAGAGCTGGAAGGACAGACCTCCCGGGTGAGGTCACTTGGCTTCTTGCAACCATGGCTGCGTTGAGCTTTCCTGGGTGAACTGTCTCATTTAGGCACTGTGATTCCTCATCTAAATGCCTGGCTCTGCTCTGCTCCTGCAGGGTTTTATTTTTGGATGGATCCACAATTTCCAACACAGAAGACAGTGGGTTTGGGTGATGCTCTCATGCTCTTCAAAGCAAAATAAGAGAAGCTTGTAAAGCAGTCACGGCATAGAGAGAGCTGAAAGACTTATGAGAAATACAAAGAGTGGACTTGGAAGAGGAGATGTGTCACTAGGGCTGTAATGATGTGAAAACGTACCATTATCAGCAGAGATAACTAAAGCAAAGCTATGCTGAATAACAGAGTAACAGAATAGAGACTAGGTCTGGTGTCATCTCAGCAGTGATGCTGCCCATGTCCTGGTGGGAGCAGAAGGCAGGACAGGGTCCTCCTGCCACTGATGTGATGAGTGAGGCCAGCAGAAAGCTGCATGTGGGATTTAAATGGAGTCTGAGGAAGAGGGAGATTTTCTTTTGCCAAGGAGCCTTGCTCCTGATTTCCCTGTCTCCTCACTTACCCAGTGTGTCTGTTTTTCTCCTGTCCCACAGGAAATCTGCAATGATCCACATCTCTTTGTGGATGGCATCAGCTCCCATGATTTACACCAGGGCCAGGTTGGGAACTGCTGGTTCGTGGCTGCTTGCTCCTCCCTGGCATCCCGGGAGTCTCTGTGGCAGAAGGTAAGTGGTTCCTCATGCCAGGGGAAAGCCTGTCTTCGACACCCTCACTTCACGTTGTGCTTGCCCAGCTCAAAAACTGGTTCTTCAGGGATGCCTCAGGTCCTGAAAAACTGTTCATGTGCAAAAACCTCCTGTAAAGGACTGTCTTTCAAGGGGAATTATTCATCATGACTGCAGTCACATCACACTCAAGCCAAACCCTTGGCCAGTTTCTGCTTAACCACATGGATCAAGTCCTGGTTTGTCCTCCGGATACCAGATTTGACCCTCTGCACTCCAAAATAACGTAAAAAAACAACAAGAAAAACAGAATTCAGGATGCTCAGCTGCAGCGTTTGGCCCCAGTTCCCTAGTTCTCATGGTGTTACCTCTCTTTGGCTGCTCAGTGTGTGCCCACCTTGGCAATGAGACACTGTGCTAGGGCAGGTAGGGTGATTTGAGGGTTTCAGTGTTTCTCCCAAGCCACTGCTTCCCCAAAGCATCCATGCCTGGCATGTCCCATGGCTGGATTGCACCATATAGCAGTGCTCCTTCGAGTGTTGGGTACACAGGGACTGGGTTGTGGGCCAGAAAGCCACCAAGGAGCTGCACCAGAGCAAGGGGCTGCAGACCTGGGGAGCAACCACAGAGGTACAGGTGGGAAGGAGGTGCTCAGTGCCACATCTTTGGACAGTCTGTGCCCATCTCCACCGTGTCCTCAGCTACAGAAGTAGTCAGTTCTGTGAAAGCCAAGGCAGGGGGGCTTCAGGCCCTGATACAGGTGTGCCTCATTGTAGGACAAGAGACCAGCAAGTTGCAAGCACGTTTTCCTAGATTTTACTGCAAAAGGCAGCCACCAAAGTCCTACAGTGTGTGCAGACAGCATCACCTGCTTCACCCACAGCCTCCTACTGCAGTGGACCCAAAAGGGGTCCTTTGCATCTGCTCTGTGTGCTGTGGTACCTGCAGTCTCTGCTGCGTGTGGTTTTTGTGATGATGAGCACTGAGCTCAGGAATTGATGTTTGTTGCAGCATCCCCATTTTCTGTTAAAATCAAGATTATTCTTTATATGGGAACAGGATAGCTGTCGTTGGCTTCTGGATGAGCAGTAAGATTTCATTCCATCATGGCTGTGGTGACTGTTGGCTCTCATTGCAGGTGTGGTGCAAGGGTTGTTCAAGCTTGTTCCTCGGCATCAGTGTCTCCCAAGGGCCAGCGGGCGAGTTGTCTTCCCTCTTCACCATTCACTTCCAGCCCTGCCCTGGGAAATACCCACCAAAGAGAAGCCAGGTCCCTTTGGACACCTCATTATTTCAGTTTGCCAATGGCATTGCTTTTCCTCCCTTGGCAATTTGGCTGTGGGTGTTTGTGACTTCTCATTTTCCATGCCCTTAATTCCCAGAGGCTTTTCCTTACCTGCCGCCTCTTTCCTTCAGAAAGGTTTGCTTTCTGACCAAAGTACAAGCTGCAGACTTCTGCCTTAGCCTTTCCTCCCAGTGATGGTCCATTTGGTGTGGTGTTCACTACAGGGCTCTGGTCAGACATGCTTCAGCACACCCCTGCTTTTGGACACCTCTGAATTAGATGGAACCTTTGCTTCCTCTTTGCGAGGTGCTTTGGGAGCTTGTGATGAACTGCAGCAGCAATTTTAAAAGCGTAATGGGAGACATGAAGTGCACAGATTAACCCGTTGGTCCAAAGAGACACCAGCTCTGCTAGGATAGAGCGTGGTCCTTGCCAAAGATCACGGAGCCCTTTGTTGGCCCAGAAATAGTGGACCTCTTGGTCCCTGGTACAGTTGCACATGCAATTATGATAATGTTGCTGGAGGTACCTGTTGCTTCTTGACCCTCGGGCGTCTCCACACATAGGACCCAAGGCCTGCAGTGCAAACCTCTAGTCCTGACTGGTCAATGTGCTGGTGCAACGAACAGTTGAGGGGACAGACAAGGCAGCAAAATGCTAGGTTTTTAAACCTACTTTAAAACCTAGTTTTAGTGTCATTAGACACCAAAACATCTCTGATTCAGGGTCCAGGGGGAGTTGATAGATGCTGATGTGGGTGTCAGTATTACTGAAATATCAATGCAGGGATCTTGGCTCAGGTGTCCCGTTGCTTCTAGCAAATGAAACCCTCATTTACACCAGGAAGTAACTTAGGCTTGGTGTGTCCCTTCCTCCACTTCACGCAATGAAACTGTCTCTCTCAGGTGAGGGAGGGGGAATACCTTCAAGGGAATAGGACGGGCCAGCACATCTTTGTGTATCCCAAGAGATGATTTTATTCACATGCTTTCTTCTGCCTCACCCCAAGGCTCCCTCCATGTCCCTACTTCCCATTAAGCCTGTGTTGTTTGAGTCACTGAGTGGGAATGGGGTACTGGAATTAAATTTAGAGCTGTTTTCTAAATTCCTGAGTCTCAGCTGACCCTTGCTTGGCTCTAGGTGTGATCTGGCTCTATAACACCTTTCTGTGACCCTTCAGGGGTGTCTAGCTCTTATGAAAAGAGATGAAGGCCTTGAAATGGGGGCATTTAAATAATTTCCAGCAGCACTTTGTCCTAAAGGGTTGTCTGGATCTGTCCCTGTGCTCCCACAGGTTACACTGATATTGCTCAACGAATGAGGGAGAGGGGCCAGGCTCTGAAGCCAAATGGGTCAGACAGCCCTGCATCTCAACCATCTAGCCTGTTCTCCTTCCCTCTCAGTTGCTTCCAGAGCACAGGGCGGTCTCAGATGGGATGCTATGAGCAGATAGCTCTGAATGCATCCACTTCCCAAAGCCCATTTTGTAGGTCTTCTACAACCTGGGGTTAGTTATTGCTCTCTGAGGAGACCCTGATGGCTGATCTTGTACCTCAGCAGGACAAGGAAGGAACATCACTTGATGCCTGGGGGCTGGACCACCACTGAAGTCCATTCACCATTAGGTGCAAGGTCATTGCTCCTTCTACTCTTCTACTGCCACCACATGTGGGGGTAAAAGAAACAAGGCAGTCCAAGCAAGGTCCATGTGACATTGTCACATGTAGCTCAGCTCAAAAAGGTCTCCATGGTTACCTGAAGGCATTTTTAACTCTTAAAACCCAAGGGTTGGATCAGCAGTTGTAGCTAAAGGTGTTTTAAAGCTAGTAAACAAGTGAGGCCAGAGCTCAGAGAACATCCAGAAGGGTCAAGTTTCCTCAGACCTCTCTTTTGTCCCTTGAGATAGGTCTGTGTAGCTCTTTGCTTTCTTGACTCTGTCCTCAGGGTCTTTAGGAGTAACAGCAGACTGCAGAACAGTTCCCAGGAAAATGACCCACCTTGGGCCCCTGGTGTCTGTGGCTTGTCTGGCCAAGGCCAGATTCTGGTGATCTTTTTTGGGACTTCTTCTCAAACTCAAAGTGATAGCCTCCAGGGATGATCTTGGGTGGTTGTGAGTCAAGTGTGACACAGTGCAAGTCCTGGCACAGCCTTTTGTAAAAATATTTTAGGAAAAATGTTTCCTGGACTTCATTTAACACAGTTTGACCTCCCAAAGTGCCATGAAAACATTGCATGTGGCAGAAGCCAACCTGAGTCATAGATAGGATGGAAAGAACCCAGACGTCTTGAGTCCACACAATGTCTAAAGCTTTGTGCTGAAACCCCTGCACTCTCCAAGTGTCCAAACCAGTGACTATATCCCAAAGATACCACAGCATGCTTTGCAGGAGTCAGGCCTTTTCCATGATGCACCTAAAACAGTGTCTGTGGTTTAGCCCTTGTTTAATAGGGCAGCATGGCTGGGCATGGCACCTCTCTTCAGGATCCACAGCCTCATGGAGTCCTCTAGCACCCTGCAAGAGGAACGTGTTCACCACTGTTCCCCTTTAATCCTATCCACTGTCTGGACAACCCACCAGCACAGCACCAGTGCTCTATATTTAACCGTGCCCGGCAATTGCTGAGGAATGAGTGGCTCCAGGTTGGGCACAATGGTCTTGCTGGTGCTTATGTGGGCTCAGCATCCCTACAGTGCCTGGAAAAAGGTTGTTTGGCTTGCTTGCATCTTGGACCTACCTCTCCACCTGGCCCAAAGAGACAAGCATTAAGGCACAGACTATGCCTGAGTTCCCTTTTCCCAAGCACACTAAGGTGAAGCCCACAGGTAAGCACACACTGCAACTTTGTGCCAGTCCTTTCGAGGGCAGGCAGACACACGCTGAGCTGCTGGTGCCCACCTGCTGCTGCAGGAGAAGTGTGGAGCCTGAATCCTGTCAGCTGCACCATCCAAAAAAGGACACGAGGTCCTGAGGGACAAGTTGACTATGGGTCAAACACGTACCATTGCAGAGACGAAGGCCAAGCACACATGGGGCCAAACTAACATGAGTGCAGCCAGCAGGGTGAGGGAAATTATTCTTTCTCTCTGTCTGGCATTTGTTAATCCCCATCTAGGCACTGTTTTGGGGTCCCCAGAAGAAGACAGTGGCAGGCTGAAGTGAGCCTGATGTAGGCCACCAAGATGGACTGAAGCACAGGACAATAGGAGAAGAGGCTGAGAGAGTCAGGTTTGTGCTTCCAGGAGGAGGGAAGGCAAAGGGGGAGCTTATTGCTGTCTGCAGCTACTTAATGGGAGGGTGTGGACAAGATGGAGTGAGATTCTTGCTGGGGATGCACAGTCACAGGACAAAAGACAACAGCACAAGCTGCAGCTTATTATCTTCAGCATAAGCACAGTCAGACACTGGAACAGGAGCCCAGAGAGGCTGTGGGATCTCCATCCATGGACATGGACTGGACAAAGCCTGAAGCAACCCAATTTAACCTTAAAGTAAGTCCTGTGTTGAGCAGCAGGTTGGACCAGACCCCTCCAGATTCTCCTTCCCACCTCAATTATCCCATGAGCCTACGCTCAGAAAGCCGCTGCCACCCAGACCTCTCAGGTGGCATCCCTGGCTGCGCGCCTTCCTTTTGGGATTAGCAGCCGTTGTCAGGGAGGTTGCCAGGGAGGCTGACATCAGATGTCCCTTCCCTATAGATTATTGTGCACAGCAGCACCATCAGTTCCTAATCGGCAAACGAGGCGGGAGGGCACCCAGAGGAAGCCCCAGAGGGTGTTTTGCGTCACTGGCCTGGGTTGCCTAGCACCGTGGAGAGGGGGCACCAGCTCCAGGGGCTTGGTGGCTTTTTTCCCCCTGTGTGTCCCGTTTGAGAGCCAAACGTTGCTGAGGACCTAGCAGAGGAGCGGCTGAGGCGATGGCAGACGAGGCGGGGATGCTCGAGCTGCCCTTTGTCCGTGATGACCAGCTCACCCGCTGCATGCGGCTGCGATTCCAGAGCCTGCAGCAAAAAAACATGAGGCCCCAGGATGGTGAGAAGCTGCTGCGTCCCAACGAGCACGTTTACCGAGTGGATTTCATCCGGCAGCACAACCTGCGCTTCCTCCGCTGGGACATCCAGCTGGAGAAACCTGGGAAGGTCACAGTGACCGGCACCTCCCAGCACTGGACTCCTGATCTCACCCACCTTATGAACCGGCAGCTGCTGGAGCCAGTGGGCATCTTCTGGAAGAAGCCAGGGGCCGAGGAGGTAGAGTGCAATGGGGCAGATGCCCAGGAATTTGGGGAGCGGATAGCGGAGTTAGCCCAGATCCGCAAGGTGATGTATTTCCTCCTCGCTTTCACTGACGGCCTTGAACCAGCTCAGCTGAAGGGCTCCATTGTTTTTAAAGCCTGATCCCCTCTTGCTCAGCCCTTCTTGCTCCAGCAATGCTTTCGTTTTCATTTTTTTTTCCTCTCAATTCCATTCTTTGTCCAGTTTTTACGTGGTTCTGTTTTTTGATGAGGGATGGCATCGTGAAAAAGTGGAGGAGAGCTCGGCACTTCTGGAGCCCCTCAGCCCTGTGAAACTTTCCCCATACTTGCTGTCCTCTGTTTGTATGATGGGGAGGAGAGGGCCATGAGCTTGCTGGTGTATTTGCCTGGAGTATAAGACTGCATGCTTGTAAATTCATCAGGGATTCACCAGACCTGACTGGTACAGGGTCTTGCTAGCTTGGAAATAGGCTGCTCTAAGCCCTCCAGCTGTGGCAACTGCATACCAAAAGCCTGATGGAAAAATAAGAAATTGCCATACTAGAAACAGGAGAGACAACCTGGAGGCAGCCCTGGAGTCCAGTTTCCATCCTAGCCATTAAAAAGGGAGGGCTTGTCTGTGACTGAGTGCTTCTCCTTGCAAGGATGCTGAGTGCTTGCAAGCTGCAATGACTCCTGCTGCGACTGTGGCTCTTTGGTGTCTCTGAAGACCAGTCCCATGGAGGATCACCTCACCACGAAGCTGAAGTACCTTTGGACATGCTGTATTCTGCAGATTGCAAACCCACTGGGCAAAACTGGTGCAGGGAGGTTGGACCACCCTTTACCTGTCAGCCACCACCATTTCTTGTTGGGGGTCACTGTGGGGAGGTGTATTCCAGCATGTTGCTCACCTTGTGCTGCCTGGAGGTTGTTGGTCCTGAGGTGGGTTGCAGCAGGCTTGCATGTGTGTGCAGAGCTGGTCAAGTGAGCCAGCAGATCAGAGCAGGCTGTAGGTCTGAGCCAGCAACGAGTCCCCTGCAGCAAAAACAATTTGTGCATTGTTGTGGCCTTAAAGCACCCATTAATAAATTTGTTCCAAAGCATCTACAGGGAGCTGTGAGGCTGCAGAGCACTTTGCAAACCACAGAGCAGGAACCTGCTGCTGCTGTCCCCAAAAAGCAGTATCTCCTACCCTCTGCAAATGCTGAGGCAGGGACCAGTGCCTGGGTGGCCATGGGAGCACAGAGGGGAGATGGTACCTTTGCAAGTTTAGGAGCAGAAGGGTGTTTAGTGCTTGGCCTGTCCTATGACTCTGAATAAACTGCTAACTTTGGATGTTCCCTTTTTCTCCACTAAAAAGTGGAGGGTACTTTGGTGACACTTCTTGAGACCAACAGATAGAAATGTCCTTTGACATTATTACAAGTGCTGCTTTGCTAAGATTGCACTCAAATGTGGGTGAGCGCTCACCAAGGTATGATCTGAGATTTTCCTGAGATATGTAGAGAGGGCAATGATGGAAAAGCCAGGACAAGATGACTGTACCTATGGCCTGCTGACTTGCACGAACCATCCCCAAGAGTCCAACCTCTTCAAAGTCTCCAGAAATGCAGACCCCATGCCCTCCCCAGCCTAAAAATAACGTATAAAATCATACACCCAAGGTATGCCAGGCAGAGAGGAGAAGGAAGATCAGCTACTGGCTGGAGAGATGGTGGGAGCTTCGAGTCTTGCCCACAACAAAAGCTCAGCAACCACCATATCATACAGCCATGCCATGGGCATCGCCAGAGAGGTTGATGTCTTTGTTTAGCCCCTAAGAAGAGAGGCGGAGAAGGGATAAAAGTGGATGCATCCCTGCTTGGCCATAGCATGGACCCACTGTGGACCAAACCCACTTCCAGGGCCCTGGCAGACTTTCCCATAGGAGACCCCTCCTTGTACATCCCAGAGCAGAGCTGCTGGCTACAAAATTAGACCAAATAACAGGAGCCACTGCCAACATCCAAAGGGATTTTTGCATGCCAGGTCTCACAATATACCATTGCTACATTGCTGGGGTAGAGTTCTTGCTGCAGATAACTCCCTAGGCATTGACGTACCACAGTAAATAAAAGCCTAGTCAACAGGGTTCCCCTCAAGGACTGAGGATCTGCGTGTCTTCTTCATGCTCTTTTTGGAAGCTGCCCCAATCCTGCACACAATAAAGCAGCACTCACCAATTTTCAACTCACTATTGGTATTTTTGAGCAACCTTTTATCTCCTGTAAAAAGTAAAATGAACGTTTACCTTCTTTTCTCTTGGTGTGAAAGGCTTAATGGAGCATTTAGCAGCTTTGTGTGGTTTGGGAAGGGGTTTGAAGCTGGGCAAAAGAGGGGAAGCGATCCTCAGGTGGATCTTCCTTTCTATCAGAGCTGAGAGTGGGACATGAGTGGGGCAGTGTGATCTCTATCCACTGCAGGGAATATGAGCCTCTTTATACCAGTCACTGAAACTCTTCATACACAGCTTCAGCATCCTATAAAGACTCTCAGATACACCACTCTGTCCCATCTCCCATGGGAATTTCATCCTGTTTTGTACCGTGGTTCAGCTTTTCCCCGCTGACGCCCTCCCTCCCCTTCCTGAGCTGGCAAGTTCCCAGCAGAAGAGCTCCTGCTTGGAGGAATCGCTACCTACCAACTCCTCCTTCTAATCAGGGACATTTCTCCAGGGTTACAGGGGCCTTTCCTCTTAATTAGCCACTATTACGAAAAGTAAGAAAAGCCCTAAACCAGCTTAGGCAAATGAACCTGGTGCTTCTGGGCTCCCAATTTACCTGTCTCTCAGGCCCTTAACTATAAATTTGTCCCACTAAAGGTTGTTACAGCTCCAGATTTTGTAAAAAGCAGCGCAGTTGGGTGAATAAGGAGACATGGTCTCCACTGCCTCAGTGTCACACAACCAAGTTATGCCCAGCACTCAGTAGGATCCTGGGAATGCTGGTCCATGGCATGGTCTCCAGCATCCACTGAGGAGAGATGGAGATGTCTGGGGAAGTTTCCTGGGAGTGGGTGGGAACCGTGGACCTCAGTCGCATGATGATCTTCTGGAGGGATCTGGGCTCCAGCTACTGCTGGGGTTTGTAGATGTGCCCCTGGTTAATCCTTTGGGTAATACACAGTGTCAGATCACAGGCAGGGGTTGTGCTGTACGCCTTGAAGTGTGGTGTCCTGATAGGCACCACATCCAGCGCTGCCACCTCTCCCCTACAGCCAGGGGAGTCACAGACACCTTGGGCAGAGGGTGAAGCAACAGGAGGAATCCTTGACCTGGGTGAGGTGCTGTACTCTGGGAAGGGTTCGGGAGAGGAACCTGATGTTTGAGCTCATGCCTTGCACTTCAGCAGTGTGCAAGATCAGGCTCCTCTTGTTTCCCTTTGAGACGGTGTAGAAAAATGACCAGTTCTTGCTCCTTTTGCTCTGCTTTTGCTAATTTCCATGGCAGAGGGTGTTTTCAGTGCTGTCCCCAAATGAAAGGATGGAGGAGGATGATGGGGACTGGTATCTCCTGCCACCACTGACAGTAATGGCAAGTCTCAGAACCAGCCAGCTGGAAGCTGTCACCCCCAGCTCTGGCTGATGAACTGCCTCTAATCAATGCTATAATAATTTTTAAGCCCCCATTAATAGTGAGTTGATTAGCACAATGGTCCTCTGTGACAATTCATTAGGACAAGCTCCAGTCAGGAGAGAATCGATGGGGACTGATGGAGGGCTGTCTGACCTTTCCTGGCACTCTCCCCGAGGGAGTCTGGGGCATCATTGTTAGCACTCTGGGAGAACACCAAACCCTCCAAAAGTGGCTCTTTTTCATGGCTCTGCCTGCTCTGCTTCTATTGATCCAGACAACTCAGAAGTGCCAGTGAGCTCACAGGGCTGATGGCATCATTAATATTTTAGTATAGGAGCAATAAAAGCCCTGGGCTGGATTGTTGCAGGTAGCTGAGGAGTCTCTCTGCAACTTTAGGGCTTCGTGACAGCAGCCAAAAAAAAAAAAAGCAGAAGGCTTTGGCAGCTGGACAAGGGCCAAGGCACGGTGCAGAGGATCTTGCCATGTCCTGGAGCTTCCTGAAGAGCCTTTTTCCATGCAGTGTAGTTGTGTCCTGTCCTATCCCACCCCAACACTCGCAGCTGTCTCTACACGACAGTGATTATTTGGTGTATTGGAACATAATTTTCCCCATGGGCATGTTAGGGTTTTTCCTTGCTTAGGTCATGATGCTTTGGGAACAGGTAAGTAAAGAAGCAAAGATGTGGACAGTCGGTCATGTCACTGCGGCTGAATTGGTTACTACTTGTCAGCTATCAACTACATTAACTGTACATGGCCTCACCGCCCACCCTGGCCATGAAGTAAACCCACGTTGCCTTCACCCTCAACAGAAGCTAAGCTGTGGTGGGGCAATTCCTTGCTGCTTGCCTCCTGGTTGTAAATAAAATGCAGATCGTCCTGGATGTAGCATCTGTGCGTGGTTGTGCCCATTTCTGTCCCAACTGTTGAGTGGATTTTCCATCCAAAGCAAAGAAAGTGGTGCCTGCAGCCATAAAGGGCTATGGACTTTGGCAGTTACATTTTGCTTGTGCCTGTCCCACTGGCAGTGCACGTGGCAGTGACACCAAACCTGTGCTCCCTCAGCTGCTCTAGGGTTTCTTTCACCCTGGGCCCTCTTTTCCTTCTTTCAGCAAGTCGCCTCCCCATGCTTGCTTTGATGAGTATGGTAGCTATTGACATGGAAGAATGGAGACCTTGTGGGGATGGGGATCTCGCTTTCCCCATGTTTAGCAGAGTATATGTATGCAGAGTGTCTGGTCCCTGTTTGCTGCTACCAGGTAGATGAGTACAACACTTGCTCTTGGGCCAGTCAATTCACACAAGCATCAAGTAAGAGAATCAAAGAAGGTGCTCGCTGTTAGTGGTATCCTACTGAAACTAAAATGAACAAAAATGTGGTCATAATAATAATCATCCCTGGTCAGACCAAGGACTCTTCTGCTCCAATAGCCTGTCTACAGCAGTAGATGGCAGCAGATGTCCAGGGTAGAATTATGAGAACCAGTACAAGGATCCTTAGCTCCATCTTCCAAGGCACAATGAAGTCTAAGTTATTCCAGTACACGTTAATCTAGTGTGCATTGGAGGAACCAGGTCCAAAATCTGGCTCCAACAGGCTGTAAGCAAGTCCGTCCCCTTCGTATTCCTCCTTGTCTTTGATATTGTCTGTGTTAATTCCAGGGTGAAAATCAAACCGAGCGAAAGAAGGGAATAACTTACGTGTGTGTGCCTCCTCTCTTGCAGGTCATCCCAGACTGGAAGGAGCAGGAGTGGAATCCCGAGAAACCCGAGAGCTACGTGGGGATCTTCCACTTCCAGTTCTGGCGTTTTGGTCAGTGGCTGGATGTGGTGATAGACGACCGTCTGCCCACACTGCACAACCAGCTTATCTACTGCCACTCCAACTCCAGGAATGAGTTCTGGTGCGCCTTGGTGGAGAAAGCTTATGCCAAGTAGGTACCTGGGCACCCTGTTTTTCCTCTCTGTTCATTCTTCAGTTAGTTTGCACTAGTGGAAACAGCAGTTTTCCTGTGAAAGAGTAGGACATATCTCCAGACAGAAACTGTAAGAAAGAAACCTTCTCTAGCCTTAATTTGCCCTCAAAGCAAAATATCCTCCAACTCCATGTTTGCTTAAGTAACCCCTATTGTAGAGATTTCAAGTTCCCTTTATTTGTCTTATGACAGCAAGAGTGCTGCAAGCAGCATGGGTCTTATTTTTTCACCCTTATTTGCTGTCCTCATCCACTGGAAGTTTTATTACAAATCTCTGTTCTCCAGGCTGCCCCAAGAACTGTCCCAGGCCCCTTAAAATGCTGAGCCAGTGTTGTTGTGCCATTCCTGTCACCCTCTTGCAGATTGTCAGGCTGTTATGAGGCCCTGGATGGAGGCAACACAGCTGATGCCCTAGTAGACTTTACTGGTGGGGTCTCTGAACCTATTGACCTGACCGAAGGGGACTACATTGCAGATGAAGCCAAACGAAACCTCCTCTTTGAGCGCGTGTTGAAGGTGCACAACCGGGGAGGCCTCATCAGCTGCTCCATCAAAGTAAGCAATGTTACCTTTATGGTCATGGTCTCATGGGAATAGGCATTTTAGGATGCAGTTGTGTGGCCTTGGAAGCAGGTCTCTTGGTCTTAGATGCTACAACAGCCTCTAAGTAAGCAACCTGAATATGACCATCAAAGACCATATTCCAGCCTAGTCCAGCCCATCTTCCTCTTGTGTAAAAAGATCAGATAAATTATGGCCAAGGGTTCCTACTTTTCCTTGTGGATAGCAAAAGGAGTCAAGCCTGGATGCTAGCCCTCTTTATTCCTCACTGATATGTCCAAGAGCCTGGATTCTTCCCACCACCTTTCAAATGTTAGGAGAGGATTCACATCCAGAGAAAGGCGTTTTCGTGTCTGCATTTGGACCTCTCTAAAAACACTGGGCACCAGACCTCTCATTAAAACCAGTAGAAAGAACTTTATTGATTGACAGTATGGGAGCTCAGAGACCTCATGCAGCAGATGAAGACCAAAATGCCATCTGATTTATCCACCAAGGCAACGGGCTCTCTCCCTGAGCATTGGTGCTCTTCTTTTTGGCTCAGAGAAACCTGCAGGGAAATCTGAGCTCCTTTTTTTTCCCCAGTCCCTCCAAAGGCGGTCACATCCCCCTGGTACGAGCACTGTCTGTCTCCCTCTACCCAGGCCGTGTCAGCAGCTGACATGGAGGCCCGCCTGGCCTGCGGACTGGTGAAGGGCCACGCGTATGCAGTGACAGATGTGCGGAAGGTCCGCTTGGGCCATGGCCTGCTGTCCTTCTTCAAGTCGGAGAAGCTGGACATGATCCGCATGCGCAACCCGTGGGGCGAGCGGGAGTGGAACGGCCCTTGGAGTGACACGTGAGTTAGAATGGGCAGCAGCAGCACCTTTTTTTGGTGGGAAAACCTGGGTTGGAGCAAGCCTCGAGACATGAGGCAATTTGACTACATCCACACCAGTAGGATAACGTTGTGTGGGCAGTTGTGGGATGCTGCTTCAATTCATGCCCATTTCACTAGGGCAGATTAATTTCCTGCCCTGAGGTCCCTGGAGGTCATCAGGAGGGTGGCTGGGCTTGGCAGACCTTCTCATTAAGACTCTGGTGGGTGTTGTGGTGGAATTGCCAGCATGTTCACACTAGTGAAGAATGATTATAGCTCACCTTTCCACTCCCAGTCTTGTTCCAGCAAAAATAGCACCCAACAGAATCAACCTCTGCCACCGCTGACTGCTGTGGTGTCTGTGGATGGGATGAAGAACCAAGGCTGGTGTAACCAGAGCCTTTAGCCAGAATCCATTTCATTATCTTCACTGATAGTGGTGTGACTGCACTGGCAAAACAACATCTTGCCAAGTTGAATTCAGCTTCACTGGTCAGGAAGGAAGTTGAAGCTCCAAGCCATGCTTCACAACCCCCATGTTTGGAAGATGAGCTAACCAGAGCAGTGTGGGGACTGGTTGCATGGCTGGGGCTTTAGACAGGCCTTGTGCCCTTGACAGGCCCTCTTGAATTCTTGTGTGCCCCCTCGTCCTTGCAGTAATGATCCTGTACTCTTCCCACAGCTCTGAGGAGTGGCAGAAAGTGAGTAAAAGTGAGAGAGAGAAGATGGGGATGACGGTGGAAGATGATGGAGAGTTCTGGTGAGTCCCCCCTGGGGTTGTCACCATGGGCCATGCCCACAGAGTTCTCCCACCCAATGATGCACATGGGTTATTTCCATGCATACAACTACCCAGAGCAAATGGCTTTCTGAGTCCTAGAATCTTTAGTGAAGCCTCCTCCTTGAGCCCATGGGTATTAGCTTTGGATAGAATCATAGAATCATAGAACAGTTTCAGTTGGAAGAAACCTTCAAGATCATCGAGTCCAACCTTTGTCCTAGCTGTACCAACACCACTAAGTCCCTAAGTACAACATCTACCTGTCTCTTAAACACCTCCAGGGATGGTGACTCCACCACCTCCCTGGGCAGGCTGTTCCAATGCCTGACAACCCTTTCAGTAAAGAAATTCTTCCTAATATCCAGCCTGAACCTCCCCTGGTGCCGCTTAAGGCCATTTCCCCTTGTTCTATCACTTGTTACTAGGGAGAAGACACCGACTCCCACCTCACTACAGCCTCCTTTCAGGTAGTTGTAGAGAGCCATAAGGTCTCCCCTCAGCCTCCTCTTCTCCAGGCTAAACAGCCCCAGTTCCCTCAGCTGTTCCTCATATGAGACATGCTCCAAATCCTTTGCTAGCTTGGTAGCCCGCCTCTGTACCCTCTCCAGCACCTCAGCGTCCTTCTTGTAGAGAGGGGCCCAAAACTGGACACAGTACTCGAAGTGCGGCCTCACCAAAGCCGAGTACAGGGGAATGGCCATGACCCTAGGGTTGCAAGCTGCTCTGTATCGCACTGGGTCCAAACCATTTCACCAGGGTACTTAGGAAACTGTTATGAATGTGCTGAACTTAACAGCCTCAGCAGGTACGTTTCAATACAACATGTACCCATGTGTGAGGGAAGGGCCACTGTTCTGCTTTTCCCACTCCAAACCACGTAGCTCTGTTGTTTAAACTGAAGAATTATTTACTGTGTGCATAGAGAAAGGTATTTCCATCTCTTTTGTTATTCATCAGCCATCAGAGGCTAGCCATGCTCAGTCTCTAACAGGTGATCAGGAAAGTCCCTGCAGCAAACTGTTCAGGGGAATGAAGCAGCATAACCCAGCTCTGTCCTTTCCTGACTTAGGATGACCTTTGAAGATTTCTGCAAATACTTCACGGACATCATCAAGTGCCGTCTCATCAACACATCCTACCTGAGCATCCACAAGACCTGGGAGGAGGCGGTACTACGCGGGGCGTGGACCAGAAACGATGACCCCTTGAAGAACCGCTGTGGAGGCTGTATCAACCATAAGGACACCTTTTTGCAGAACCCCCAAGTGAGTCATGGAGCAGAGGACCTTCTGGAGCCTTCACATGTTCTTCCAAGTGTTTAAATCTCCTTCAGGGACCTAGAAGGCCAAAATTGCTATCAGACCTGTAGTAGATTAAATGCACTCATGACTATTCTCTGGCTGAGACCCCTGGCACAGCATGACCAGTATCCAGGCCAACTCTATTGAGTTTACCCCTCTAATCAGGCAGACTGCATCCAAGTGCCTGGTGTAGAGCATCTTGGCACAAGCAAAGAGCAAACTGTGCCACAGAGCAGCAGTGTTAGCTGGTGCCAGTCAAAATAGGCCAAGAACCATTTCCAACAGTTTGGATGTCTGAATGATCAAATTCCAGTTCCTTTGCCCAAACCTTGGCACTGTTAAATTTACCAGGACGGGTGTAGTCTATAGGGCTATTTCCTTCAAGCTTGGCCTTCAGAAAAGGCCCTGCTCTGAAGCTCATCTCCTGGAAAAAACTCTTGTGTTCTGTTCTGCTCTGAACTGGGATCCTCAGTAACATGAGAGAAGTTCATGTGAGTCCTTCATCTAACAAGCAGATGAAAGATGGCCTGGTCCATTGCAGGAGTTGTCATCGAGGATGTGGGAGAGTTGTTTTCCTGCTTCCAGTTCTGTATTAGCCTTCATCTTAGGTCTCTGTGAACATCAGTTCCTCCTTCCATGCCTTACAGAAGAACTTGTGGCAGACTGCAGGGGGTGAAAGTCTCTGGTACGAGATTGCATCTAGATGCCTTGGATTCTGCCAAGAAATTCAAAGACTGGATTTCCCAGTCTTTTTCTAAGATGATCCAAAAATGTCTCTGGCTTGGCACGGTGGTGCCGGTTCCCAAGAGGAATGGGTATGGGCTCTCAATGCTGGTACTGAAGCCAGGCTGTCCCTGCAGTGAGGTGGGTGAGGAGGAGTTGAGGTTAACTCTACTGTGTCTCCACCCCTATCCATGCCCAGTGATCCTGTCCTTAGTAGAAGTCCTCCCTTACCTTCCTCCCTTTGCTTCTAGTATGTGTTTGATGTGAAGAAGGCAGAAGATGAAGTCCTGATCTCCATCCAGCAGAAGCCAAAAAGGACCAGTCGCAAAGAGGGCAAAGGAGAGAACTTGGCCATAGGCTTTGATATCCATAAGGTAGACTCTGGTTCCTACATGTTGTCCTGAATACCCCCATAAATTAGCTAGTGGTGGAGTGTTACATCAGTCCTGGATGACCACTGGTATTGTTCATTTAAGCATTATCTGGGTGCCTCTAGGGTGCCTTCAGCACAGCCTGCTCCCCTCCAGAGATGATGAGAGATTTCAGAGGTGAACAGGGACAGCATGGACAAGTTCTCCTTGCTAAAAGCAATGGTTACTCTGTTATCTCCAAATGCTGAAATATGTTAGACTGATCCTTATGCGTTGCTTGCTGGGCTCCTAGTGTCAAGGTGGGATGCAAGAGATGAGTTCCTGAGCCAACAGAGCTGGAAGAACCACATCCAAACTTGTTTTCCATCCAGCCCAGCTGGCACCATTTTGCTGGTTCTCTTATCTCCAGCTCTCCTGGCACTGTGTGGTCAGTCCTTGCAGTCTATCTCCCCAAGGTGGATACCAATACATTGTCAGCCAGTGCTGTCCTGCTGACCATCCTGCTGTGGTCTCTGCCCAGGTGGAGCTGAACAGGAACTACCGGATGCACACCCTGCAGCAGAAGGTGGCCAGCTCCATTTACATCAACTCCCGCAGCGTATTCCTGAGGACGGACCTAAAGGAAGGCCGCTACGTCATCATCCCCACCACTTTTGACCCTGGTCATGTAGGCGAATTCCTTCTCAGGATTTTCACAGATGTGCCTTCAGATTGCCGGTAAGGAGCAAGAGCAGGGATGGGGAGGAGTTGGCTATTTGGAGATAGTCCTGTGCTTTTGACATGGGGTTTTGCTGATTGGAATTGGTCATAGCCAGACACCTGGAGATGGCGTTTGGCTTCCTTTCAAGGATGGCCAAGAGACCGGGCATCTTTACAGGTCTCACCACGGACATGCAGAGAAGCTCCCACTCTGCTTCTAAGCATGGCATGGGAGAGCATCCCAAACATAGGTTGAGGAGATTGGAGTGGGGAGCAGAGTCTGACAGAGGACAGTGCATCGTCCTTCTGTCCTGCTGGAGCAAACTCTCTGGCCTGCCCATGGGGTAAGGCCTGGTACCTCTCAAAGGCCACGTGTTTTTCCCTGCAGAGAGCTGACACTGGATGAGCCACCTCACACCTGCTGGAGTGGGATGTGTGGTTACCCACAAGTGGTATCCCAGATCCATGTCCTCGCTGCAGCTGGGTTGAAGAATCAGGACTCCCAAGGAGGTACCGGTCTTCTCCTGCCTGTTTAGTCCTGGAGGAGTTGGGAGGTGCTTGTTTCAGTGGGAAAAGGTGGAGGTGGTTTCATGAGGTGGGAGGTTGCTGGGATTTGTTGTGTCCTCAGATTTTTTTTTCAGTGAACATGCCTGATTCAGACACCAGAGGAGGAGAAAGTCCATGGACAATCAAACTCACTTCTTGCTGTGGACATGACCTGGCAGCTGTTACATTCAGGCTATTGTTCAAGATCCTCTGGAGATCCACCCAAAACATCCCCAAAGCCATTGGCAGTGGTCCTGTAACAATCTGAGTTTTTCTCCTGAGTATGAGCAGCTCTAAAAGTCAGGAATCGCATTTAAAGGCTTCTTAGTAAGGACAGAGAAGCAACAGAACAGGCTGATGTGTTGGGGTAGCGTTCACCACCAAAGGCTGGATAAATGTCTATCAGTAGAAGGTTGGTCAAATTTATTTCATTTTCTGTGGATTGGGAACCTCTCCCTCTATTTCCCTCTATTTCCTCTAAGCCTTGCTACACACTTGGCTCCTAGGAGCCCTCTGAGATGACCCGAGCCACCACCAGCACAGTGCACTGTGTATCTGCCTCACTGGTCCTCTGAAGGTTCATTTTCATGGTCCTACCCTGCTATGATGCAATTTTGACATCCAACACTTCTCTTCCATGAAAGACAGCAGCAGCACCGTGCCTCAACATGTCCTGCAGCCATGCAGAATCTCACAGCAAGAGCCCCATGTTCAGTCCTCCTGGAGCATCTGGACCAAGAAATGCAGGGCTACTGATGACTTGTAATGGGAGATGGTTGAAGTAGGGATGAAAGGTCTAGAGGTTGCGATTAGAGAAGCAAATGCCTTTCCGCCATGGGAACAGACCAGATCCTAGCCTTTCTCCGTGATTTCCTGAGTCAAAGACATGTGTTGAATGTGGCAAGGTTTAGTCAGGCACTTTCAAGCCAAATTTAAAGTACAAAAATTGAAAACTTAACGTTTAAAAAAATCTAAATTAAAAACTTCATTAATTTTATTTTTCACCCAAGCATTATTGTCAGAGCTGCATATCACTAGAGCCCTGAAAGTAACGAGCAGGATCCTTCCTTAGGGCAAGGAATAGCCTAATTTGCTTATTTATCACATGCCACAAAGGGAGTCCTTCTATCCTGTCTAGTGTTTGCAGAGGGAATTTTACCTTAGGTAGGTTGTTTTTTTCTTGGGTTACTCACAACAGCTCAGTGTATCTGTAGCAACGCAGGGAAATCTGTAGCCAGAGGTCTCTGAACTGTTCACAGAAACAAGATTTATCTTTCCGTCAGACAAGGGTTCATGTGGATTCTGGAACCATAAAACATTTTTTCAGCAAGAGACCCTTGGGAACAGCTTATTTCCAGCTGTTCTCCAGCTGTTCAGCTCCCACCACCAACAGCCTGCCTGTTTGGTGCTTTCCAGTGCAATGGCATCTCTCAAATCTCCCAGTGCAGGCCTTTCACACTGCTTTGGAAATTGTGATTTACAGATAGGAATCTGGCTCCAGCTGATGGAATATGAAGATTTAATGGGACATCCCAAAAGACATGGCTAGTTTGGAAAAACAGCTGTGAAATCCAACAGCTGTGTCTCACCAGGGGAGCCAGGTCCTTGCAAGCAGAAAGCTAGCAAGGAGGTGGTCTAGCAATCACTGGCCCTCAGAAGGGGGTGGTTTGTTCCTCCTCATTTCCACATTTCCCTTGGACAAGAAAACTCATCCACCTTGTTTGTGTTTCCATCATAACCACTAAAGCTTATGGTAAGAAAATGCGTTCTGGCAGTTGAATTTCCATAGAAATAGCTAATTCTCTACTGAAATGCTCAAAACAAGCACTTGTTTCATAAGGGGAAAATATTCACTAGTGAGGGAGTCTTTCCCTCTGCTGGAAGGTCAGGTACTGTCCAGCTGTGGGCTGATAGTCTGTGAACTTGGTAACTTTACTCTCCATCTTTGTGGCCTGCTTGTTCCCAAGGACTGTCTTGTTCCAGCTGGGATATTGCAATAACTTTTCCACTTTATCCTCCACTTCCCACTCATTTCCCCTTGTTGCCTCTCAATCCCCAATTTTTCTTTTCCCCCTGCCTCTCACTACCACCAATGATTCTTCTTGATATTTCAGTCTTCTCCCTGAATTCTTGACCACAGCAAATACTCTTAAGAACCATCTTCACCTCTTTAAAAGCCTTTTAAATATATTTCCATCTTAAGGCTCCTCATTCACTGGTTGCTCACCAAAATTTCCCAGTGCCTAAACAGTCCCGGTTTTGGATCTCATAAATTAGCACATCTTGATGCTTAATTTTGGCCCAGCTTTGTGCCATCTCTCTTCACCTTGGCCACGCGGCATTTTTCCTACCCCAACATTAGTCATTATACTGACAGCCCCTGCAGCATTTGAGTCTCACTAAGTCTAGGAGGAAGATGTGCCAGTGATTTCTGCATAGGGGTGAAAAGCACAGACCCTACTGAGGTAGCTACTTATCACCCTAAAGTAAAACCAAGGTTAGCCTCGATTGGGAGTATATGAGCTGCAGTGGGAACAGTGGGGCTTTGCAGCTTGAAGGCCCTTGACTTCTTGGTGTTTCCTTGTGTGAAAGAATCTCTGTGAGCCTGTTTCTCTTCACCATGGCTTTGTTTCTGCCTGCCTTCAGCAGAGCGAATCCTGAAAGGAGAGTTGAGCAGGGTGGTGCCTTCCACGAAAGACTTACCCCAAAGGTCAAGAGGATTTGGAGTGTTGAAGGAGTGTTTATGTAGAATATGGGGTCAAGGAAGAGGTGGCCATGTCATAGCAGTCCATCACCACCTGCTGCCCATGGACAATGTCACCTAACAGGAGTAAGCTTGAGCCTAACAGCTGAGCTTCATGGGTATCATCTGGGGTGTGATGAACTCTTTGGCAGATATCCATCTTCTCTGGTGGGCTACGAAGGGAAAGTGCGGCATGACACCCCTGTAAAAGTGCTTTGAGGAATTACAGGAGCTACAACAAAACAAAAATTCCCTTTTCTCCCCCCAGGAGCTGACCCTTATGTGATCATAAAGTGTGAAGGGCAAAAAGTTCGCTCTCCAGTGAAGAAGAACACGGTGTCTCCGGAATTTGATGTGAAAGGGCTTTTCTACCGCAAGAAGCCAGGACAACCCATCATTGTTCAGGTACCTGGCAGACGAGCAGTGAACCGAGGGATGGAGACCCTCTCTCACTTGAACCCCCCCATCTGCCCTCTCCTCACACTATCCACAGCGGGTTTGTTCCCCAAGGCTGGGCGTCATCACTTCATGCAGCTCAAGCTCTCACCACAGTGGCTGAGCGGTGACATCTGGTCCTTCGTCCCTCTCACTTACAGAGCGAACCCCCCGCTCCTCCACCACCTCCATGGCTCCAGCTCAGAGCAGGTCCCCAATAACTCCTTCTCCTCTCCAGTGCATGAAGGTTGGCTGCATCCCTCAAGGAGCTGCCCTCATGTCTGTTTTGTTTCCCTAGATCTGGAACCACAACTTAATAAGCGACGAGTTCTTGGGCCAAGTGGTGCTCACGGGGGATCCCAGCGACCGGCAGTCAGTGCACACGCTGCATCTCCAGGACAAGGGGAACAGGAGATCAAATGATCTCTCTGGAACCATTGCTGTGAGGCTGCTCAGCAGTAACATCCTCACCAACGTCTAAGTACTCAAGGACTCTTCTTCTGGTGCCACATATGTGTATATAAACATGCACACATACTTACATACGTACATACATATACATATATATATATATACACACACACAGAGCCGACCTACCATCTGCAAAGTGTATATGAACTGTGCATGCATTCCACTCAAAGGAGCCAATCTTGTGTTTTCAATGTTAAAAAATGGTGCCTTTTTGGGGAACCGCAACAATCCTTCTGCTGGCGTCCTCTGCAGCCCCCATCTCTGCCGTGTGCCCCGCGGGATTGCTGCAGGCACGCTGTGTGTCCTGACAGCCAGAGCACGATGCCCTGATGCTGTTTGTTTACACGGGCTGGCACACACGTGCCACCATGCACACAGGTGGCCACCGCGGTCCCACCAGCTGCTTCAATGCATCTTCGATGTGTCTGCTTGGTTTTAGAGTAGTGTGCGTGGAGTCGTCTCCCATGAAACTGCCATTTAATCGCTTCTCTGTGGAGGCACCTCAGCAAAGGAGAAGTGGAAAAATAGATTGGGGCCTTTTAGGTGTTTTCTGGGTGTGGGTTTGCGTAATGCAAGCGAAAGGAAAACGCACCAAGGCAATCCCGAATCCACAGGGGAAACAAGACTAAGGGCTCCATCATTTTAGGGACAAGCTGTCTCCTCCTCAGTCTTGTTCCACGCAATGCAGCTCTGAAGATTACAAAGATGCTGACAGCCATGGTGGGACAACTGTTCTCTGGGGTCAAGTTTTTGAGTAGGTCTGGACTCAGCTCCTGCGTGTGCCTCTCGAACTGCCGTGGTGCCTGCTGTCTCCATGCCTTCATGCAGTCCCCATCCCAAGAGCTCACCCCAGTAGCTGGGGCGGGTTGTCTGCAGGGGCCATTCAGTGTTTAGATAAGAGGAGATCAGTTCCTCTGAAGGCCAAAGCGTCAGGTTCAAGGGATGGGGAGCTTTGCTCAATGGGCTCCATCTTTACTGCTGCATACAGTGCATCATTTCTCAGTGCCTCGCTTTCCCAAATTCTTTTGAAAAATAGTGCGATTTTAGCTTGTCCTAGAGGGCAGGAGAGGAGCACTGCTCCCAGTGGAGCCTGAAAATGCTTGGAAGTTTTAAATCATTCCAGTGTCCATCTCACACCTTTAATTTCCAGTCTCCTGCCCTGGAGGATGAGTTGCACAGTGCTAGAACCAGTCTCACAAGCACAACCGAAATGTGTCCTTGGGGCTGTGTCTAGGGCCATGCTCTGCTCCTGTTTGCCACGAAGACTGGGTTTATCTTCCTTATTCCACTGGGTGGCAGAATCCGGCTTCTTATAAACCATCCAAGATACAAACCCTTGTCTGGCCTTTCAGCAGCTGATCAGGGCAGGTTTCAAAGCATTTTTTTTTCTCCTGTCGTTTAGGTTGGGGGTTTTTTTATTCATGTGCCTTTAAAAATCGAGCAAGTTAAAGGATTTTTCTGTCAGATTTTCTAACAAGCAAATCTTTTGCAGTCACCTGCATGCAAGTGGAAATCAATAGGTATGATATAATCTTGGTAAATTTTGGCCTGAGCAGAGTCCTCTGCCTGCAAGGACAAGTGAACAGGAAAACCTTCTTTTTGCCACAGCACGTAGGGTTTCTGCTTGTCCTACTAAATGCCCATGTTTGTGCTGCAAGTCTGTATTTTATTTTATTTTTATTTGAGTCTCTAAAGATCTGCTAAGTCTGTAACGTGGTAACCTGTTCCCCAAAGTCACGCTAGCTGCCAGCTCAACTCTTGGTGCATCCAGAAGCATACGGTACAACTTCATCAACCTTTGCAGGCTGTTGTTCCCCTTTCTTCATCTTCAGAATTTACCTCCTGTGGGTTTTTGGCCAAAATGCTTATTTTCTTAGGTCTTGTTTTCCAGGACTTAGAGGCAAGCAGTGGCCCACGCAATGCTCTTTCCAGGCTGCCATTATTCCTGGCTTACACTGACCACCCTCCAACCCCCGGTGCCATCGCTGCGACCTAGTTTAGTTCAGCATTTTGCAGAATTGACTCAAATGCTCCTACTTTGGTAAAGTGACATTTTGAGCCCAAGGTCAAAACAAATCCTTGAATTTGGGCGGGCCAGTTCAGAGATAGTTTGATTTTATTCTGGTTTTGTTCATGGGGCTCGTCACTGGAAATAAACGTAAGCAGCTCTGTGAGGTCAGAATGCGTGATTTAGGTCTTAGGAGAAGATCTCACAGGCTCATGTTCAGAGTGGTATGTGAGAGGGGCTGGTGTGCATGTGAGTGATACGTGTGATGTCCAAAGATACCTCACTAGTAGGGAGAAGAGCTATGTAGCTATGTAGCTAAGGGAGAACATCATGGGAGCTTTGTACCATCATTGTCAGATGGGGGTAGCCAGCCTGCCTGCGTTAGCCTTGTGTTCTCAGGAAATCCGGTGACTGACAGCTTCAGGAAACGAGAGCCATTTGGCCAGGAGCGCCCTGACATGGGCCAAACTGCACCGTGATCCCCAAGGCGCCGAAGATTGCTGAGGAGCAGTGATGCCCTGGTACCCACGGGCAGCCTCCTTCCTTCCTGCAGCAAATCAAGCCATAAAGAGAGGAAAGGCAGCTTTTTAACATCTTCTTCTTAAAAAAAAAAAAAAAAAAAAAATCACATTGTATCAGGACCAAAATGTCTTAATATCAGTAATACTTGTCCTTTTTCAAAAAATTTTGAAAAGTTGGAGCAGAAGCCTTCTTCGCCTTTTGTTTCCAATGGAATAACAAAAAATACCTTTGTTGCTTTCTTTTTTTTTTTCATCTTGTTTGTAGAGCAGATGAGGGAGGGCCATTGTTGAAATGCCAGTCCTAATGTTGATGCCTTTTCTCTTCGAATGAAGTAAACAGAAATATTCAGGGTTCTTTTGTCTGAGGGGAGGGCAGGTCTGATAAGCACTTTCCAGCCCCTCCCAGGTGGCACACGACATGTCTCGGATTTATTTTCCATTTCTTTTGTTAATCATTTCAATGGTTGCAAGTGGCCTGCCATGACACTCTGTGAAATCCATTTCTTTTTGACGTCTGCATGTTGAAACACGCTATGACTTGTCTTCATCTCCAAAGGCACTGACGTGTCACGCTGCACAAGATCAGAGAGTGGTCCAAACAAAGCCAACGTTGTACAGCTGTAAACCTCGTATAAATAAACTGTGTATATTTTATTCAGACTCACTGCCTTTAAACGGCTCTGTTCTTCCAGAATGCTTTTGATGGGCACAAGGTGGCTCTGCGGGGCCTTTTTAATTTACTTGATTCACTAAACTCCATTCAAATTATTTTCTCTGCGGACTTTGAGACGGAGGCAAGGCAATCTGCATGAAGGTTTCACGCAAGATTACACTCACATTCACTGGGAAAAGCCACAGAGGGGAAGGGTAACCTCCTCTGGCTGTAAAACCTTTGCATCCTATGCCTCAGAGTCACCACAATGCAAGGAACTTGTTTTTTTTGAGCCTCACCCCACTTGAAAAAATCTCTGCAGATTGAAAAGAAAAAAAAAAGGCTTAATTATGGGTGAAGCAGTAGGAGGATGTGATTTTTTTGATAACTTTTCCTCAAAGAACAAACCTGCAGATTGCACATTGGGAGAATTTGAAATGTGAAAAGCCTGTCCCTGCCCATAGCAGAGTCCAGTCTTGCTGCTGTAACACATGGCCCCAAAGTGCTGGCCCTGGAACCTTGTTCCCGTCTCAGCTCCCAGCTCCCATCACCTGCTCGAGGTCTTTGTAGCATGGAGTAGCTGTGTCCTTCTGCAGCCTACCCTCAGGAGCCTGGAGCAGGCATCTGGAAAAAGCCTTTTTATTGTGGGGTGGGGGCACCTATCCCGATCCTCCTGCTCTTTGGGTCATCCCCTGGGAGATGTGGTGTCACCAAACCCTAGACAGAGAAAGGAGCATTCCACTGCTCTGCCTCCATCACTGAAACAGCTTGAAAGCACCATTCTTCAGAGGAGAGCCTCACAAACGTCTCAACCTCACAAACATCCTAATACCCTCCTGGAGGATGTCCTGAGCAGTGGACAAGGCTGAGCACCTATGAGGCTGTGCTACTTGTTGCTGGATATAGCACAAGAGCTCTGGTGTAGGTCGGGTGGCTTTACTGAGTCCTGCTTTGTGCACACTCAAAAAAAGGTCTATGCAAGCCTGGCTAAGCCACAAGTCATCCTCTAGGCGTGGAGGTCACGCTTCCCCTCTGGCACCCACATCTCAGTTTTGCTGGTGCTGGGGCAGTGGGGGTGAAAGTGGTTATTTTGCAGCCCTACCTGTCCCTGTGCTGGTGGTACACCTTGACATGTGGGCTGGCAACATGGGTAGGGACGCTGGAATTGGTGTGGGACCCTAGCACATCCATGTGGGGATGTGAGGAGCTTGTGCATGCTCGGAGACCAGCAGCAGGTAGTAGAGTGGTGCACAGCTCCCAGCAGGATCCAGCCCAGGCTCCCCAAGGGTCCTTCAGCATCTCCTTATCCCTCCAGCGCTGCCATCTGCCAGGGATTTCTGCTCACTAACGTTAAACAAACTAAACTGACACTTCAGAGTCTCCTTTCGACCTGCAAGAGCATCTTCATGGAGGAACAGACTTCCTACCATGGTTGCAAGATGAGGCTGGAATATTTCTTCTTGGTGTTGGGTCCCCTACAGCATGCAGCTTCCCACCCTAACACCGGTATACAATCCCCTCCATATGGATACGAGCCTCCTGCTGCTCAAAAGGACCAGAGATTACTAGCAAGAAGGGCTACAGAGGTAGCAGGGCTTTTAGCAAGGGGATTGGTTCATTGCCTGCCCCTCAGAGATGCTCAGGTTCTACCACATCCTTGGCCAATGTCCCAGGTATTAAATACCCAGGGGTTAGCCTGTGACCTGCAGCTGTGAGAGTCCGTGCTGAGCAGTTGTCCAAAGGCTCCTCGTGCTCTTCAAATCCCACCTCCAAACCCAGTGGTGCAGGCAGAGGAGCATGTCCAGCCTGTGTCCCTGGCAGAGCCTCCCTCGCTGCCTTCCCACACAGCCATGGGACATGCTGGGCACAAAACAAGGCTGCCCGA